TTATCAATATATTTTCCATACTTAAGTACGCATTGTGAACTGCAAACTTTAACAAAACCTTAAACTGTTCTTTGCCAAGATTTTTCTCAGCTAGAACTCAAGTTTAGATTGTGTAACTGGCCCTTAGAGTAGCATTTAGAGCTAAATGCGCTGAATATGCGTAAGCAAAAACAGCCCATTACGCTAACGTTGACGGTGACGCAATGCACGTTATGTACTTTCACTTTTAATCTTTTTAGCCAAGAATGCTAAATCTCAACATATGGACATCCTGGGATTTTGAGGAACTGGAGAATTTCCAAAAGCCTTAAAAAAAGCTTTTAAAACACATTTGCTAGATATCCTAAAAACACATTTAAAGACTAAAGTTTAATTAGTCAACAATTATATATGTAAGTTTATTTGAAACATATTTCCTTCCAATAGTTATGAAACCCTCCCGTTTAATGCCTTGCGTCAGTCAATGGATTTATTGCCAAAGTAGGCTTAGTAGTGATAGTGGTGGCATGCCGGGTTCAGCGCCTTTGCGGAATCCTTGAATGGAAGATATATGAGATAAACGATTGATTTAGTTACCAAAACGTGGGACTTACCCAAATAAAGCACCATCGGAATGAAACCCCAGTGGAATGTGGTCTTCGCAACATCGTAGACAACTTCCAAACGTTCCTTAACGCCAGGTGATAATGCCATATTAGAGTATTACGTTAACTGCAATAAAATCGTATAAAAGCAGCAAACTTCTAAAATTTAGTGCACTGGTAAATTTTGCACAACACGAGTTTTGTAGCAAATTTGACAAGAACGAAAACAGCTGAGACTTGAACAAAGTTGGCTGTGGAAGCTTTTAGCGTTGCCAACTTCTAAATTAAACAGGGTGCTTAATAAGTAAAAATTTTAAAACTGGAATGCGTCAACCAAGATTCGCATAACCGACGTTACCGGCCGTCATCACATGCCTGGAAATCTTGCATGCGTTCTGCTTTTTTCTAGATAGAGTTTTGTTGACTGGGCATTTGACAGCACACTTTTTCATTTGGAAAATGTCGAAGGTTCAAGCCTTGCCAGCTCTTAAAATTTTGGATAAATTTGAAAATCTCCATAAAGAGAGAAAAAGACGCAAGAAACGGAAAATAATTCAGATTTTTGTATTGCAATCGATAGTTCGTCGATTGTTCTTTAAGGTTGGTCAGTTTTTAAGACATTTGCATTATTCAAATTTGCATTCTACTTCTGGTTGAACGGCCTTTCAACTAATCGCCTTCAACAAAGTTGGTCGGCAGCCATTAGCCATTCAATTTTCTTTTCGTGCAACCCTCCGTGAGATGAACGCAAAATCGCCTTGTGCGAATGCCTTTTAAGCCAAACATATATAATTAATTTTTTACATTTCATAGTTCCTTCATATATCACTCCAGGTGTAAGAATTTCATTATTTGTTAACTGTGATAAACCGTTTGTTCGTCGCTAGTTCGTCGTTTTTTCATCCCTAAAATCGATCAAACGCCGTTAATAAATTCATCATTTTTACTTTACCAAAAGCTCTCACCTTCTTTTTTGACGATATTTTACAAATGAAAAAGGAATCTGTCAAATGCCCAGGCAACAAAACATTCACATGCAAGCATGTGAAGACCACCAGTAAGTAAAGTAGTTTTCAAGAAATTCTACATCATCTACACCCTGTTTCTAGTAGTTTAAAAAGCCACTCTGTCCTGAATCGTCTCTTTTCTCTGCGAGATTTTTTGCGAGGTGCACGCGAATAAATTTTGCCGAACTCGCCGTCTGTCTTGAATAATTGTGATTTGCAATATAATTTGTATAACGCATAGCGCCAGTTTCAGTTGCATCTACGCATCCAAGCAATATAATTATAAGCAAATAAGAAAAGTAAGTGCTCTTGGCCAAAAATTATAGTTGGTAATTGAACTTGATTCGCGAACTTCCTGAACACACATTCGCTAAAATTTTTTCTTTGTTATGTAAGTAGACTAGTGAAAGAAGTGATCCAACAAATGTGAGTGGGTGTGAATAATTGAAATAGCTTTTTAAGTCTGCGCAGGATATCGTTTTTATCAACGCAGTGCCGCATTGCAGGCAGACATATCGATTTAGTGGTCAAATATTTTCTGACCTTTTGACGGCCACGGTCACACGTGATAAGGCATGAGATTACTTTGAAGAAATTTTGAGTACTGTTTATGAATTTGTACAACGATTTTGGGTTGCTGTGCCCAAACGCGTGAATCGAATCAAAAACCTTTTACCCACACTTGTGGACAACAGTTCACTCTTTATTACAAAAATTTAATTTACTAAATCTGTGCACTAATTTAACAATGGTTGGAAATATGGTATTTGTTGCAAATTTCCGAAATATACGTACTCTAACTAATCTTATTTTGCCTTAAAGCAGCCACTATTATTTGTTACTTATTTTATTCCTTTAATTGAAACTTATTCGTCGCAATTTATTAATTAAAATTGTTATGAAAATCACCCGTGAGCCTGTGATTGTATATGCAGATTAAATGGTGGAGCTGAGCTGTCAAACATAGACATCCCTGGGGCGGAAGCCCCAGGTTTACCACACAAAAAGGGAATTCTAGTTACCTCATCCTTTCCCAAGGCTACATCACTGGAGTGATAGCCCCAGTTGGTGCACACCAAAAGGAGAATTCTATTTGGTGAGGGTTATAATCCTAAAGTGCCGCCAAAGGCCGCCTACGAAGAAAGGTGTCTAAAAGCTAAACGCACACATAAATCGTTGTACAAATAGCTAAACATTTAACGAAATTTTAGCTACAAAACATGAATACTGTTTTCAAAAATAAATGTTATTTCGTCTGGTTGTTANAGCTTTGTCTGCCAAACTTCACTCTCGATTTTGAACCAGGTTAAACTCATACCTGAGCAGAGTGAACGCAGATGTGCGCAACGAGTGCCCGGCATGCGGAGTCACCACATGGCTCACGGCACCTCTTGCCTCACGCCTCACGCCTCCTTGATTTTTTTGTGCCAGCCTCGAACTAACAGATAATATTGGGAACATTCACCTCAAATCTTATTATTTTTGTCACTTCGCGTTACCTTTTTAAGTTTTCTTTTAACAGGTTGAACTGTGCTCGACATCTCCCACATAAATCACTTTTATAACATCATGGTAACTACATATTTCCATTATGTATTTTCAAACAGCTTTGAAATTAACTCTTATAATTCCGCTCACATCATCATCATGGAGCAGAGCACATTTCAACCTGGTGATATCTGCCTCGAATGCCAGCAACAAGGCTTGAGAAATCGTTTACGTACTTTTTACATCGATATCAATGAGCAAATTGTGAAATGTGAGAGCTCCTCCTGCATTTATCCTTACATAAATGACTTTTCGGATTCTGAGGAAGATGTGTCGTCTAAAGAATTACAAAAAAGCCCACCAAAATCCACTTCCTGGCCATCTTCTGATTTGTGTTCTTATCCTAACAATGATTTTGATGAGTTAGATAGTGTCCGTTTTGTGGAAGCGCTACTTTGTATCGATGGGAAAAATAATACTGTTGAGAAATCAGGAATTGTTGGCAGCACCACAGAGAATAGCGCGACACCATTCCCCTTTCAAACTACCAGTTGCATGTTACCCACCACATCACAGAACCATTCAGAAATGTTACCTTCAGCTTATTCATTGAAACATCAAAACACATTTGAGCCGAATTCATTTTCT